ACACTTGGGCATTGAGCAAACCCTAAAATCCAAACAGAAGAATTTCGAAAAAACCAGGAAAAGTGTGGGAGGAAACTCAGAATGACCAGAAAGTTGGGACAAAATGCCATGTATGCAAATGACAAAGTTTTACGTGTCTCATACAGATTTATTATACGTATTTTAGCTTCAGCTTTTTTCGTAACCGGATTGAAAATGTTTGAAATTTTAAAATTCTCCACGCCCACTCAAAACTCGGAATATTATCCGAATAGTGGATAGAAAAACCAGCAAAATGCAAAGAATTACAACCTTAAATTCTTTGGTAACGTTGCATGGTGGCAACGATCATGGTGTCAACAAACCAAAAATCTGATCATGGAGTCAACGATTGTTGACGTCGTGATCAGGCATTAAAACACAAAAATGGGCCCTGAGCATGGTGTCAACGATCACGGTGTCAACAAACAGAAAAATATCTTCCTTGTGAGTAAAATTAAAAAATTAAGTGTACAGAAGAGGTCTTGGTCACGTATAGTTTGATTAGGTTAGTTTAGGTCAGGTCATGTACGGTTAGATTAAGTAGGTAAGGTTAAAGTTATGTAGGGTAAGGTCGGGGAAAGTTAAGCTCTGTGAATGTGGGATAGGTCTTTTAAGGTGAAGTTGGGTAAGGTTAGGTTAGGTAAGGTTAGGTTAGGTTAGGTTAGGTTAGGTTAAGTTAGGTTAGAGTAAATAACACAAGAAAAACAAGACTTGAAATTTAAAAGGTGTTATTGAGGCAAGTTTTAAGTTTCGTTGACGTCGTGATCGTTGACACCGTGATCATTTTTCAGAAGGGTCAGAATTTTTTATTTTTGGATGATCATGGTGTCAACAAAAACTTAGAAAAACTGTTTGTTGATACCATGATCGTTGACACCATGCTACGTAAGCCACCATGCTTCAAAAGTTCAATTAACGGTCCGTTGAAATTATGTGTTTATATAGTTTCATCACCGAATGAAATTCAAGAGAATAATATATCAAATTTAAGAAACAAGGAAAAAAATCATATATCAGCACAGCCGAAGGTAGGAGAGACCTTTTGGGTCTAGCTTTTTTAACTTTTCTCAAAACCAGAACGACAGTTCATTAGCAGCCCGGAACGGAGCATCGCGAGCTCACGCCTCACGCCATAGCGCCTCCAATTTGGCAGATGCAACACGGACATTCCTCAAGTACGAATAGTTGTATCCCTGCGCCGTCATCAACAGGCAACCTTTCCCTTGCTCTACTTCCACGTTTTGTTGGTTCCGTTTATCTTACTTGTAGTAGTGCTTCAAGGGCTACGTGAGCGAAACAGACGAAGATGGAAGAGATGTAATCCGGCCTTTTTTTAAAACTTTTCTCCCGAATCTGAGCGACACCTCATTGACAGAATAAACCGGAGCATTGCGAGTTCACACCTCGCGCCGTCGCTCCTTCAATTTTGAAGACGCAACACGGACATCCATCAAGTACGAATAGTTGTATCTCTGCGCCGTCGTCAAGACGCGTCCTTTACCAGGCTCTATTTCCATGATATGTTTGTTTCGGTTTGTGTTATTTGTAGTGGTGCTTCAAAGGCTGTGCGTAACTTAAGCGCAGGTAGTAGAGACGCAATCGGTCCCTCGTTTTTTAACTGTTCTCCCGAAACTGAGCGACACCTCATTAGCAGTATAGAGCTGAGCATTGCGAATTCACGTCTCGCGCCATCGCGCCTTCAATTTTGAAGACGCAACACGGACATCCATCAAGCACGAATAGTTGTATCTCTGCGCCGTCATCAATGTGAGTCTTTTCTCTCACTCTATCTCCATGTTGTGTTGGCTCCTTTTGTCTTATTTGTAGCGGTGCTTAAAGAGCTACGTGAGCAACACACCCAAGGTATAACTTCGATTTTTGTTGGCCAAATTAGGTTTTGGGTAAACAAAAATGGGCCAAGTGTCTAACTACCCTGTTCTTCAATTTTTTTAGAGATATTGGAATATTGTTTATGTAAATGCACCAAAGACTCGTCATTGGTAAACGACCGGCAGCTCACAAATTTCGGGTACGAATCAAATCGGAATAACACGATGAGATAATCACTCATTTTATCATCTCCAGTGGCAACATGTGAATATTTTCCTGTTTTATTTCTATAAAGTCCTCGTTCTTTGGGTATTCTCCTCAATAAAATCGAGATGTACCAAGACTAGATTCATCTAAAGATAGTCCGTGTCTCTAGACTGGATTTTCAATACAAACTTGAATGAAGATTTATCAAATGGTATCGTGAAAATGAAAAAGTTAATATTCTTTTTGACGGAACATGCTTCAAATTTTGGTGTACGAGCATTTACAAGTCTATATCAGTGGCGTGGCGTGCTTTGCGATATATCGATTGATTCGCCATTCAAACCTATGAAAAAAGATCGATTATCAGGTTATAGGACTTATGGTCCAATTTTTTTTGTCCACAAATTTTTTCGTCCAATTTATTTTGTCCACGACTTTTTGTCCTTGAAATCTGGTCCAAGTTAAATTCGTCCTGGTAAATAGTTAGTCCTACGAATTTGTTCGTCCAGTGGTATTAGGTCACATTTCTGTGGTCCAGTAAGGTAAAAAAGTAATGTCCAAAACTCATGTCCAATGAGGCCGTTTCAGCTACTTCCTTTCAGCTTTCAGCTACTTTCAGTCATCGTCTGAGTCTTCTTCGTCCGAGTCCGGTGGATCTGCGCGTGGCGTGTGAATCAATTGGCAATAAGATCAATTTATTTCGTAGCTATGGAGACCCTTAAATTTAATCCCAACATCGAAAGAAAAAACCCAGATTTGGTGGAAACTTTCATTTTTCTCTATGAGAAAATAGACGACGCTTTAACCGAATTTGCGACGTACGTTGACCACACGTACGTGCGTGGCAAACCAGCTCGGGGAAGAAGACGTGCGGTACCTCCCCTGTTCCCTCCCGAAACATGGAACGTCTACAACTTAGTTATGGCAGATCGTATTAGAACAAACAACGCAGTTGAGGGCTTTCACTCAAAATTCAACCAAATCGTCGGCACGCATCATGCTAACATTTGGAAGCTCATTGACGCTTTTAAAAAGGTTCAACAGGACACAGAGCGTACGTTAACACAGGCTCGGGGGGGTCATCGCCGCTTTAAACCACCGGTGAGCAAGAAGTACACTACCAATCAGGCAATGATTGCCAACATCGTCCGAAATTACCAACATTACAAGGACACGAACTCACTTAAGAAGTACCTCCGAGCATGTGCGTACCACCTCAAGTTGCACACGCCACGCGCAGATCCACCGGACTCGGACGAAGAAGACTCAGACGATGACTGAAAGTAGCTGAAAGCTGAAAGGAAATAGCTGAAACGGCCTCATTGGACGTGAGTTTTGGACATAACTTTTTTACCTCACTGGACCACAGAAATGTGACCTAATACCACTGGACGAACAAATGCGTAGGACTAACTATTTACCAGGACGAATTTAACTTGGACCAGATTTCAAGGACAAAAAGTCGTGGACAAAATAAATTGGACGAAAAAATTTATGGACAAAAAAAATTGGACCAAAAGTCCTGTAACCGATTATCAGGGCAGTCGCAGCGAACACCTTAATAATCGATTCTTCATCATAGGTTTAAATGGCATAACAATCGATACATCGCAATTCACGCCACACCACTGGTCTATATTCAGTGGTAACATCATGCATACGCCACGCGATGGGTGGAATCAGGAAACTTGGAACAAAAATGTTTTTGAAACTCACATGAATCCATGAACTAGCTCTGTCTTGAATTGTGTTAATTAAAAAATAATAATAATAAAGAAAAAACATAATCACCCTACATGCTGATTGCGTTTAATGCCTATGCAAAACGCCAATGGATTTGTGAAACTGCAAATAAGAATCATGAGCATCGTCTTTGGTTGCCTATTTTGAGATTCATGAAACGTTTTTGCAATTTTTAGAAAAGCATCGTGCAAATATTGTCATGCAAAGTTTGAAAAAGTATCCCTACGATTCGATATTATTCAGAGAAAAGATAAGAAAAATGAAAGTGGGAAGAAACTTGCAGTTTCATTGATTTCTCATCAACATGAAACAATGGAAATATCGCACTTAAAAACTCGAGCTTTGAAAGCGAGGAGAGGCATACAAGTACATCAACTTTCCGGTAGCCCTAATTGCATAACCATCAAATCGAAGGATCTAGCGATGATGGGAATCTATTTACGCTTAATTTCGAAATTTTACTCTCCTCTAAATCGACAGAGGAAAGATTTTTTGTATTCACACCCCATTACTGCGAGCTCTCTGACTCCTAACATTTTCAGTTTTAATCATATTTGGAAAATATTGAGACTCGGCCACATTTTCAGAAAGAGCCTTTTTTGCCATTTTTCTAGGGAACTTACAATTTTGTTCAATATGCACCTTGGAAACCGCGAGCCTTCATCAGTATCACATCAAGTATTTAGTGTGATATCCATTGTATATCAGTATGATTTCATATTGAAAGCAAGAAGGAAAACCAGAGTAGGAAAATTAGCGTGAAATCTGTGCGCCTTAGAAGCAGCATGAAATGAGGGACTTGGAGGACAAGGCGCATAAGTACAGTTCTTGCTATTTCGAGAAAAATGCGTTTAGAGTATGAAGCTTTATGGCGGAAAGAAAGTTAATTACTCACAATTTGATACTTAAATGTTGGATTTTACCAGTGAAGTTTTCAGAGACTTTATTTCAGACCTAGGTTTAGTTGAAAAATGCACTGATGCGCCTTGTCTTCCAAGCCCCGCAAAATCATATTGCAGAAGTACACCAAGGGTTATCTTTCTTAGGAGAGGGAGCGATTTCACTCCTAACAATTCCATGATGGAGGTCCCTACTTTAAGATAGGTTAAAATCAACTGAAAGAAAATCCACGTGCAAGAAAAAAGGAGGATGTAACCAATTGCGTGCAGTACACACGCGGGTTAGAAAAAAGGTCTTACTTGCATTTGAGTTAGTATGCGAGTCTGAAGCTTCCGGGCTCAGATGATAAGTTATTTACGACATTGATGGGGCCGGAATTGATATGAATCACAAGTTAGAAGGAGCATTGTTTGTGAGGAGCAACACTTACTTTCGGGGGTTTCTGGGAGAGCGCAACCGGTTACAAGGTTGGAGAGGCGAACTGTGGGTCGTTAGAAAAATGTCGCAATATTGATGAATTGTTAAAATTTGAACCCGGGGAAATTTGAGGGTTTACGAGAGAACGAATCCGGGGACACTGGCGAAGCGCGGTGCTGTGTGTTCTTTGGTTCGGTATCCAAGCAACTGAGACATCCACGTGAAGGAAGCTCCCCACTTCCACGGTGGCTACCGGGCCGGCCCACCGCAAGCCGCGCCGCTCTCCCCACAACCGTCGCACGGTGGAATTACTAACGCTGAAAAAAGCCCGGATTATTAACAATGTAACAACGGAGGATACGGATTTGGTCGACATGAATCCATCGAAAAACCTGTGAATCGACCGAAAACTCAGTGGTACAATCGTCAAACCCGCGAATCGATCGACAAACCTGTAAATCGAACGACAACTCGACCGTGAATCTATCAAAACCTGTGAATCGACCGATTCTTGTCGATCGAATGGAGAATTTGCACACAAAAATGTTATTGCTTCAGCTGAGAGTTCCTAATGAGCTGAGTTCGCAGTACTTTTCATAATATTTTTCTGACAAGGGAATTTGGAACATATAGATTTAAAAGTGAGAAAATGTTGTACGGAAAAAGTTTGTACGGAATCACCTTAATTTTTACAAAACACACATTATATTTTCCTTTACTACATATATTTTTTTTTTTTCATCAATTAAAATGAGAATAATCCATACAGAGTGTGCAAACATTTCAAAGTCATGAGTTGAAAAACGCTGACTCCACGAGATTAAATACTAGAGCCTAACACAAAGCGGAGCGGCGACGCACTGGCGCCTACAAACCTAACAGGGATACTTCACGCATTGCGCAATGCGTGAAGTATCCCTGTTAGGTTTGTAGGCGCTGACCGGCCGCCCATCGAGCCGCGGCGCGTCAAGCAACTTTTTCACACCAGAGGTATTGCACAGTATCATACGAAATTGAAGGCGCTCCAACATATTAAGAATGACAGGCATCGTTTAAGAGTACGGAGCTTTCTTCACAAAATAAGTCAAGATACTACGGCCCAAAAAGAGAGCAGTAGTCCAAAACCTCACTAAGTCCTAGCATCCGTAATTAGTAACGTTTAGCATACACTTTATCGCCAGGCTGTTGCTTAATCGCCATCGGCTATAAAAGGCTACAAGAAATGGTGTTGCTGGCTATAGAAGCTATTGGAAATCTTACAGCCGGCTGTAGGTCTATGGTATTTTGGAACACGGATTCTACTGCCAATTTTTACCAGGGTTCGATCCTCGATATCTGTAGTATAAAGGGCCAAATAGTCGCACACCTATATTATCGTCGATTCGAGTTATCAGGGGAAAATCAGAAGCCAGCACCGTTGCCTGCAACGTATTTTACTGATTTGAAACCCCTTTCACAAGGTACTCTGCCGTACTAAGGAAAACCGCCGCATGAACCTTCAAGCGTTGCCAAATTGTCTTGGGTAAATAACGAATTTTCTGGAAAATTTGTAAATATTTTTCCTCCAAGTTTCAAGATGATTTTGATCGCAATTTTACCTGAAGTTCCTGAAAATTTTAAGGAAAAATATTTATAACTATCTTCAAAAATAACTCTTTTCTGAGAGCAAATTTGACATTCATGCGGCGTTTCTCCTTAGCGCGGCAGCACTGTGTTAGATATCATAACCAACAGGTTTTTTACACATTTGGATAGATCCCTCACTAGATGTGTCGAGATTGGAATTAAAAGTATTTTTTCCAAACTTGCTGGTAACATCTCTATAACTCCTCTCAATGAGCAGCAGGCTGATTGTTGGAATTGATAGACAAAGGACAAAACTATAGACAAAGAAGACAGAATGGACACAAGGCCTAATGGTGGAAGCCAGAGGTTGCAATGGGCAAAGAAGGTATAGATAATAGACGAACTAACAGCAACCTACGAGAGACCCTATAGTTAGTCCATCATTTTCTCCCTTGGTCTATAGGAGGGCGAAAATTTTAAATAGGGGACATTCTTGTCCCTGGTCTTTTATTAGCATATACATGTTCTACTCCTATTCTTTTGGCCTTAAAATGAACTCATTTTCCGACTTTTTTCACCCTGAAATGTCCCATATTTTAAATTTTCGCCCAAGAAATAACAATTTCAACCAATAGGATCACCCCATACTCCCTATGTTTTCTATGTCTATCGCTGTGTCCATCAATGTCAAGAATAATCAGTCATGGTGACTCAGCATGAGCCCATTGTGCGCCACCCGTGCGGATGCGGACACAGAGGTCGTTCTGGACATCGTTCAATTCCGCTGCAAACGTCTTGTACCGCGTTTACAATCCAAAAGTCCTTATCCGGCCCTTTTGGCTCCATGTTCGTTGCCATGAAATGATTTTCACACGAATTTGACCCCGCGAATTGTGACGGAGTAAGGAAGAATGTGACTTAAACTGGAAACTCATACAGTCCGTCGCACGGTGGTTCGAGTCAATTAGGGAGGTCGGATATGAAATGTTTGACAAAAAATGCGAATTTTGATTTATATTTCGTCACATTTTAAAGTTCAAGGGGTGCTACTGGAAGAAAATTTTACGAGAATGCCGATGGTGCCACTTTCAAAACCTCAAAGTTTTGTATAAACGGAGTTATAAGTGTTCAAAGTTTCCAAATTTTGTCCGACCTCTCCTATTCACTCGAACCACTGTGCTTCGTTGCCCGTACCAGCGAAGCTAACTCCATTCCGAGGTCGCAAAATTGACCTAAACGATTCAATTTTTTACAATAATGTGCCGATGCAATTTTCGTCCGAATTTTTCTGATTTTAGCCTTTTAGCATGATCTGAAAAGACAAATTAGTGAAATTTTCAGTTGGAAATAAGACTCTCCATGGGTAAGTAACGCTGCAATTTGCGAGGAGGAATTCGGAATCATTGAAATGTGGTTGCGTCCTTACGGGAGGGGAGCGACAAATTCCATGCAGCGCAAAATGACCGGCTTCAGGTAAAAAAAAATAGAGGCTTTTCATTTTTAAGAAAATCAAAATGTAAAAAAGAACTCTGAATTTTTTAATACCGACTCCCGAGAGAAATTTAAACAAATTAATTTTAAAGTATAGTCATACATAGCCTGTAAAATTGTGTTAACCGTCTAAGTTTTTATTTTGATACTTGCAAGTTTCTTTAAAAATCCCGCGAAATGTCGAAAATCGGTCAGTGGCGGACATTCGTCGATTCGTCGGTTATGGATTTCGGCAGATTTTTAGCGTATGGCGCACAGTGGATCGAGTCAATTGGAGAGGTCGGACATGAACTTTTTTACTATAACTGTAAGATATTTATTTCGTCACATTTTGAATTTTAAGGGGTGCTATCTGAAGAGAATTTCACGAGGAAACCAATGGAGCCACTTCTAGATCCTCAAAGTTTTGTATGAACGGAGTTATAAGCGTTTACAATTTCAGAATTTTGTCCGACCTCTCTTATTGACTCGATCCACTGTGTGGCGGTGAAGTATGGCCGCTGAAAGATCGTACCCAAAAGATTCTTAAGGAAACCGAGATGGATTTCTGACGAAGATCAGCTGGAATCTCGAGAAGGGATCGAGCAAGGAACGAAAGAGTTCGTGAGATAATAGACATCGAGCAGGACATCTTTCAAGAAATTATGACCAAACAGCTTATCTGCTTTATTCATGCTCAACGAATGGCGGATGATAAATTGCCTTAGAAGGTAAAATAGATCCCTCCTGAAAGGAGACATAAGGGACGCCCAGCAAAAACTTGGATAGGTGGCATTCAACATGAAATTACAGTTTTGTACATTAGTGTCGCAGAGCGCCCGGGCACGCTGTAAAAGCGACTAGTAAATATGCACTTTAAAAAAAAAAAAAAAAAAAAAAAAAACTAAAGATTTTTTAAGACAAATTTAGGTTTTTTTTTTTTCATACCCGTGATTGGTAAACATAACAAAACCCGATCCATAGAACTTTTTATTCTCAAGGAAATGCTTAATGAAACCAACAGTAAAAAAGCTCTGTACGAAAATATTCATCAAAGCTTGTTCAGAACTTATTTGAAAAGTTGTAAATCAAAAAATCCGTGAAAGCTAGCCTAGAATTCGTTGATCACCCAGAGAGCGGCACTATTGTAGCAAAAGATTGAGATGACAATAATTTTCCCACCCTAGTCTTCTGTAATGTGAGTGCATGCCACAACCAAACACAAATACTTCCGTGCATTTCTGAGTAGATGAGAAAATGGTAGTGTCTTCAAGTTTTGAATATGCAAACACGAATAGTTACATTGAAGCGAAACAGCCAGCTCAATGTAGTATTTGTAGGTCGACATATGCACCGAATTATTGGTCTTTGATACTCTTACTTTGGCCTCGTGTCAATAATGTGGCAATACAACCTTTCTCATGGGGATGCTGCAACTGCTGACACGATCCCGAGTATTTCTGAGGATATGAGAAAAGTGGGAGCGCCTTCAACTCTTGAGTGGGCAACACGCACAATCGTGAAACACGAATAGTTGAATCAAAGCGCCGCGATCAACTCAGTCTAGCTTTTGTAAGGGACATAATACATAGGTTAGCGTATAAATTGCATTCAAGTTAATTTAGACACCCCATAACCCTCTATAATTTTATAATTTACTTCTAAACAGTTCCCACGCTAATATGTGGTATCCAAAAACTTTAGTAGGTATGTGTAATCCAAAAAGGATAGAAAACCTAAAACAACTGTAAAAAAAGATATTTAGAAGTGATTCCGTGAAATCTAAAAAAACTATAAGACATTGGAGGTGATTCCGTGAAAATTCGTATTGCTTTTCGAAATGGATCACGACCTCGCAACATCTCACAAAACATGCACTATCTCTCCCGGGAAATTTTTGAACACCTGTGTAGTTCAATGTTCGGCCACTTGCAACGCCACCACTCACCGTTTTCTTGTTCAAGGACGCAGTTGTATTTTTCGGAAGAGTGAAAGCATGGACCAAGAGAATAAATAAGGACTCCCAACTCCCTATGCTAACCTGTGTTAAAAACCGTTAACGCGCGCTCGCAGCGAACCTGGCAGAGGGTGCGGTGAACTAACGCCACAGCGGTCCACGATCGTACCTCTATAGTATGTTATTCCATGCAATGTTCTTTGTTTATCTATGATT